TGCAGTTTATTAAAGCAACAGATACAGGTTCTTGTGGATTGCCTGTGATAAATACACTGTCTGCAAAAGCACGTGCAAATAGTAAAACAGAAAAACGCACGACAAAGTTATGAATAAGACAACCTGGCTTTAAAGTATAAAAGTAAAAAAAAAAAAGTAACTCTATATAGAGGTTCCTAATTTTCCTGTGGAAGCACTGGATACAGTGCAGGTCTTACCCACAGGCATCCCTATGCGGGGGAAGAAAGGTCCAGCCCGTCGACCGGTCCCAGGAGTCGGGGGTAATCTGTTGATGGAATTTTTCTCAACTTGTCCACGATGATGTCTTCCCTGATGCCCCCCACTTCTTGGGCCACTTTTATACTATTTTTCACTTCTAAGGTGGAGCTTGAGTGACTCTAGTCATACATACCTTTATTGTTATTGGTGTAAAATTCTCTTGCTTTGCTTTTAAAGGTATATAGCACAAGAAATTAAAAGAGCATGCTCAATGAGGGGTGGTCTCACTTTGGAGGCAGGTACCATTGGAGATAAATAACTGAAATTACAGAAACAAACCATCTTTTTAGAATCAAGTGTCCAGAACTTCTAATTCAGACCAAACAGGTGAGGAAAATTTTTGCCCAAGACAGTCTGTCAGCAAAAACTCTCTGATTCCTTGTGCATCTGCCTTTGGAAAGCCACTAACACACAAAGCACAAATAATGGCATTGAAGGATGAGCAAGACTATTTGCAAGTAAAGTTTTCTGATTTAACTACCTTTAAAGAAGACAGAGAAGGAAAAAAATGCCCAACAGAATTGTTGCAAGTAAAAACTTTGGAAAATGGACTCAAAAATGGACAGTCAGAACACTCAGGTCAGGTAGCTCCTGTTGAAAATCTCATAGAACAATTGAGGAGAGAATTGGCCCTTCTTAGATCAAAGGTGAGACACGTTTATAGTATGTGTATGCTTGTATCTATTGCAGTTATTCAGAAGATAAATTCAAATAATACAGATGTGTTAGTTTATTTTCATCTTTATTAATTAAAAATATAGGATACTTCAAATGGAACTGGGCATTTTTTCTTCTAATAAAAAAAGTGCCAAGTCATTCATTTTCAGTTTATTTGTTAACATAGTATTGGAAAACGTAGGCAGATATTTTCATTCTGTTGGTGGAAAAAAAAATGCACAGCACCTGTGCACACACAGGTACCATAGACGGGTACAATAGACGTAGAATAGTTTTTATTTTAAGACCTTCCACACATCAGTGTAAATAAAGTACTCATCATTTTTCTCAGTGCATACAGTCTTGCATCTCCTACAAACCAAAAAACCAATGCCTCCAAAAAGAAAACTCCACAAACGAACAAAAAACCGCACACACACGAAGGAACCTCACATGATAAATATTTATGTAGAATTTATTTATGGTTCCCCCCCCCCCCCCCCCACTTCTTCTGTTTCTTCAGAGGTCGTGTAT